ATTTAGTTCTTAATGCTATTTAGCAACCTCTCCATGCTGGTGACCCTCCCTACCACAGAACTGGACAACCTGCAGAGGCTGGCAGTTAAAGTAAGAATAAACTACGGGGGAGGAGGATATGCATCTGTTTCTGCACAAAGGATTCCCCATAATCTCTCCATCTCACTTTAGACATTAATTTATTGGTTTTAGGGCTAAGCCTGTTCTAAATCCATGACTGTTTAAAAATAAACTTTTCATAGAAAAAAGGCAGGAATTAAACTAATGCAGCCTCTAAAGATCCACTGTTTTCTATTGTTTGGTAACTTGCTTTTTATCTAAATTAGTTTATTATTGTAGCTGTTAAATCCAGAATAGTATTTAAACTTATCCTTCTCACCTATAAATCCCTCAATAAGTTCCATCATATATCATAAATCTGATTGTACCTTAAATTCAATCTGCAGGTTTACTAGTGGTTCCTAGAATTTCTAAAAGTAGAATGGGAGGCAGATCTTTTAGTTATCAGGCTCCTCTCCTGTGGAACCAATTACCAGTTTTAGTCCGTGAGGCAGACACCCTGTCTACTTTTAAGGCTAGGCTTAAAACTTTCCTTGTTGATAAAGCTTCTAGCTAGAGTGGCTCAGGTTATCCTGATCTATCTCTATAGTTCTGCTGCTATAGGCTTAGACTGCTAGAGGACAAAAAAACATTCTGCAGAGTTTTTTGTTCTGCTGTCTTTCATCCCTTTGACATAAAAACTGACTCGAAACTCATCTGCTTAACTGTTTATTTTCCAGACAGAGCCTCCTAAGGTGCGACACTGCAAAAACGATCTAAAAATATGTAAAAATGTCTTGAATAAAGTGTATTTACCATTAATTTGAGAAGTTAAAGACAATCATTGGTTTTTTTCTCTTAAAATAAGAAAATCTGATAATATGCACTTGAAATAAGACAATGCAATTTTTTTTTCTAATTTCAAATTACCTCCTCAATTCAAGAAAAATTAACCTATTTTAAGATTAAAAAAAATACTTATTTCGATCTTTATTCTTTTGCAGGGTAGTTTACCGTTACCTTATTCTAATATATAAAGTATGAATCAGTGTTTCTAGATTCCTTTTGTTTGTCTGCTTCTGCCTCCTTGAACTCGGTTTCGGCAGATGGCCGCTCAAACAGAACCTGGTTCTACTGCAGGTTATTTGTGTTAAAAGGGAGTTTTTCTTCTCCACTGTTGCAGCATACATGCTCAGTGTGAGAAATGGCTGTCGACACAATGCAAGCGAATATCTGCTGTCTACATGCTCACCTAGAAGGAGCTGATGACTCGATGCAATCACCTAGTTTTCTTTAGAAACTTTTAACCAATCTGTCTGGATGATCTGATTGAATTGTTTCTGTAGACGACATGTTGTGAATCAGCTGAATTATGAAATTATAATTCTGATGAATTATGTGAAGGCAAGAGCAACAAAACATTCTTTTTGGGTCCTTTAGGAGGAAATGAAGCTGTTCCAAAAGCTGCGCAACATAAAGCTAAATAATGGAATGACGATCAAATCTGTGGCCTAATCCTTTAAGTCGGTTCCCCGACATTTTTTAATTAGATATTTAATCATTTTAAACGTTTTCATGGAACATTTTATTGTGCATTTTACTATTAAATTGTATATTTGATGTATAAATCCAGCTTATAGATGATTAAATAAATGTTACATTTGTTAATTTCGTTGTATATTTAAATTTCTTACATTCCCCCAGGGGTTCTTGATCCCCACTTTTAGAGTCCCTGCTTTAACCCTTTATACAGCAACACATGGGCGGTTCTAGAGAGGGGCCAGCAGGGTCCAGGCCCCTATTATGGCCCATATACTACTGAAAGCAAACAATACAAAAATGCATATATGGTAATTTATTAGTGGATTAGGGATATTTTCCCTTGATTTGAACACGTAAGAAAATTTACCGATTAATTAACTGATTTGTGTATTAAATTAGATAATCCATTAGCTTATTTCAAGTGGATAATTTCTAATTATCTTATTTTAAGGACAAGCAGATCATCTTATTTACCTTCTCAAGGTAATTAAATATGATAAAGCTGATAGTTAGTTATCTCTATAGTTATGCTGCTATAGGCTTAGAACGCCGGAGGACATAGGGACCCGTTTTAATCATTCTGCTTCATTATATCTTTATTCTCCCATTCTTTGTTATTTCTTTGTTTAATTTCTAATGTTATGGTCTTGATGTTTTTTTCTCATCATAGTAGCTTCATCTGGTCTGTTCCTTTTTGGCTGTGACTCCATCCTGGAGAGAAATATCAGCTGTGCTGCTGCCATGAACGCCCTTGTTTATAGACATCGGTTGACAGTTTGCCTTTTGTATCTCTGCTTCTTTCTGTATGTAACATAATGTAAACCTGTTTTCCTAAAGTCAGAAAAATATACTTTAATAAGACATTTTTATAGAAATATTACCTTATTTGCTCAATAGCTTCCAGGTAATGTGATCAATGGACGAAAAATCAGCGTTGGATCATAGCACTGCATCATCTTCAAAAGTTACGCCTTTTATTTTTACATTTCATACTTTTGATATTTTTTTAATTAACTTTTTTATAGAAATATTAGCATTTTTGCTCAATAGCTTCCAAATCATGTGATCAATTCACTCAAAATCAGTATTGAATCATAGCACTCCATCATCTTCAAAAGTTAAGCCTTTTATTTTTCCATTTCAAATTTGAAATTATTATTTTGTTCATTTTTATATGGCAATATTAGCATTTTTGCCCAATAGCTTCCAATTCATGTGATCAATGGACTCAAAATCAGCATTGGATCATAGCACTGCATCATCTTTAAAAGTTGCACCTTTTATTTTTCAATTTCATATTTTTTATATTAATTTTTATATAGAAATATTAGCATTTTTGGCCAACAATTACCAGGTCATGTGATGAATAGATTTAAAATTAGTGTTGGATCATAATTCTCCACTGGCTTCAGGAGTAACGCCTTTTTTATTTTTGCATATGAAGTCTCTGAATACTTTTAGAATAATATTTATGTGTAGATATTGGATATTAGATATATGAAGGTTATTTTGTTTCAAAACAATTTGTGCATTGTAAGTGTGAATTTGAAGCTGTAGAGAGAGTTACATTCTAAGTTTTGTATGTGTAGAATAAAAAAAAACTATTTCACAAGTACTTTTTTTTTTACACCTGTTCATATTTTAAGTACACAAATTCTGTTCTACAAGTTGCACATGAAAAACCTCTTACATTCTTTTCTTCAAATGGTTTAGAACTATTGTTGCAAAACTATTTGTGTGTTGTAACTTTGGTGTTTTGTAATTGTAGACGTTTTTTTAATCTGAGACAATTACACCTCTTCAAATTCTTGAGTACAATTACACAAATTGTGGTCTGTGAGTTGCACATTAAAAATGGCTTCCATTTAGTTTTGCTACAGTTGATCCAAAACAAATGGAATTGGTAAGAGAAGTTAGAAAAAAGTCCTACGCTTACTGGCACAGAATTGCAACAAAAAGTGGGTCTGGTGTAAAACAAAAGATGAGTATGCAGAAAAGCACCTCATGTCCACTGTGAAGTACTGTATGGTGGAGGATCTATAATGCTGTGGGCCTGTTTCTCTTCCAAAGGCCCTTGGAACCTTGTTAGGCTGCATGGCATCATGAATGCTTTGGAATACCAGGACATTTGAAATGAAAACCTGATGGCCTCTGCCAAAAAGCTGAAGATGGGTCGTCATTGGGTCTTTCAGTAGGGTTAATGATCCGAAACATGTGGCAAAATCTACACAAAAATAATTCAGCAGTCACAAAATCAAGGTCCTCCCATGGCCATCTCAGTCCCCAGACCTCAATCCAATGGAAAACCTGTGTGGGGAGATAAAGAGCAGAGTGCACAGGAGAGGAACCAGGACACTGGATGATCTAAAAAGATTCTGCAAAGAAGAATGGTCAAAGATTCCTTTCTCTGTGTTCTCCAATCTCCTCCTCCTTATAGGAGGAGGTTAAGCGCTGCCTTGTTGGCAAAAGGGCGCTGTACAACATATCAGGGGTGCCAATAATTGTGGAACAAATGATTTCACATTTTTGTTTTCTAAATGTGTGATTTTATTTTTACCACCAAAGTAATGTATATGGGGAAAAAGTCAGAATTCTGACTTTTTTCTTAGAATTCTGACTTTTTTTTTCTCAGACTTCTTACTTTAATCTCAGAATATTGGATCTTAATGTAGATGGGCACCATGAAGCTAGAGATGTGGGAGCTCTCAGCTTCACTGACAAAGATGTGAGTTGTTTGAGGTGGCCAGTGACACATTGGTGGAAAATGACGGAATTAGGCAACTTTTTACGTGCCCGATGGGTCCCCTCATTAATGGAGGAGCAGAAGGTCATTAAAACAAGAGAGCTAGTCTCTAAAACAGACATGGCTATGGCTTGATGCTAACATGTTTGTTAGCTGTCAGAATTCTGAGATAAAAAAAGTCAGAATTCTGAGATTAAACTCAGAATTCTGGGGGAAAAAAAGTCAAAATTCTGAGATTAAAGTCAGAATTCTGAAAAAAAAAGTCAAAATTCTGAGATTAAAGTCAGAATTCTGAAAAAAAAAGTCAAAATTCTGAGATTAAAGTCAGAATTCTGAAAAAAAAAGTCAAAATTCTGAGATTAAAGTCAGAATTCTAAAAAAAAAGGTCAGAATTCTGACTTTTTTCCCATTTTAAACTGAAATAAAATTAAAAAATCAGTTAACTTTTTTTTCAGTTGCCCTAATCCTCTTCCGTATAAATGAAAGATTGGATTTTCCCCCTTTTTTTTTTTTTTTTTTTTTTTTTTTTTGCATTTGCGTTCTTTGTTGTTTAAAAAAAGAATTAATTTAAGTCTATATATATAAAATCTGTAGAACCGCCCCTGCTGCTTCGATACGGAAACGTTTGTCGCGGCTTTTATTTTGAAGGATCGCGGGCTTGTTCCGGTGAGCCGCAGCATCAGATCCAGCCCGGGGCTGACTGACTGCCTGACTGACTGCCTGCCTGCCGCTGCGGTCGGATCCTCCTCCGGGCGGTTAGCGGCGGCTCTCCGTGTCCACCTGCCGCTGGATGAAGCTCCTTCTCGGGGCTTCTCTGTTCCCGCTCCTCCTGAAGGCAGGAGCCCCGCTGGAAGATGGACGCTAACCCGGCGGTTACCGCGCTGATTGGAAACCTTTCTTTTTAACTCCTCGCGCTTCTTTCTTCTTCATTTTGGGGATCTGATATTTTTAGGCCAAAAATCATCTCAATGTGTGATCAGAGCGGAAGCGGCGGCGGCTGTGAGGCTGCAGGTGGATGGCCGACCTGAGCGCTTCATCCCGATCATCATCAGAGGAAAATAATAATCATCTTTATATTAATAAAAGCCGCCATGCTTCCCGGGGTCGGAGTGTTCGGAACCAGCCTGACCGCCCGGGTCATCATCCCGCTGCTGAAGAACGAGGGCTTCGCGGTGAAGGCGCTGTGGGGCCGGACGCAGGAGGAGGCGGAGGAGCTGGCCAAGGAGATGAACGTTCCCTTCTACACCAACCGGATCGATGACGTGCTGCTGCACCAGGACGTGGATCTGGTGTGCATCAACCTGCCGCCGCCTCTCACCAGGCAGATCGCTGTGAAAACTCTGGGTGAGTCCATCAGCTCTGCTGTCTGACAGGGTGGAGGCCTGGGGGTCAGACCCAGCCTGGAGATCTCATCCAGGAGCCTTTTTTTTTTGAGGGGGGGGGGGGTGAATGATGGTGGGGGCCCCTGGAGCTGCTCTACTTACCACAGCTTTAAAAAATGGCTTCAAACATGCAGTTTATATAAAGCAGCTCATTTTATTTGATCTTAGCTGGAAAACAGAGGAGAAAACAGAGGTGGCTCTCTGCCCAGGGCAGCATGACCTTAAGGGGCGGATTAGACTTCTGCAACCGAACACATCAAATGTTGCAAACTAGTTTTGCTGGTTTGCTTTTGCACCGTCGCTCTGGAATTTTTAGGGACGCACAGCAGTTTACCGCCAAAGAACAAGGGGGAGCCTATTGGAGAACTCGCAGGAACTTTGGCAGATGGTCACCAGAACTTGGGCAGTACCAGCGGGAGTGCTTATCTTCCAAAAAACGTCGCGTCTGCAAGATATCAAGGTCGCGGAGATGGACCTAGAGTTTCTAGACATGGAAGAGGAACAGGTTCTGGCTGATCTCTCTTCAGGGTTTGGCAGAGACCTTGGTATCTTTATAGAATTTGTCTGAGGCATCGTACAAGTGGTCGTACTTCCGAACCTCCTCGATTAACCTTTCGTCGTAGTTCTCCATTGTAGTTGTTCATCGGTTTTTAAAAATGGCGCGCCCAGGCAGAGAATCAAGAAGGTCGACCACACAGAGAGCCGGAAAGGCATACCGAGGACCAATCACAGCTGCTTTTTGTCTGCGCACTTCAGCTTGAGGTCTGCGCGGGTTTGGGACCGTCCGACGCGTAGTCAGGATTTTTTTGAGTTGCAGAGAGACAGGTTTGAGGGTTGCAGAGGCTATGCGTCAGAAGCATAAATTGGCCTTAAGGAGAGGTAGCTGTGAGGTATCAGTCATGAGCTTCACTGGGAGTTTCCAGTGACACTCAGTGGGGGGGGCTGGAGTTTCAAAATCTCAATGATCTGATCAGACTTAAAAGAATAGAGGTTCTCTGCAACATATGTTTGGTTTCACGTCATTAGAATGATCCCTGTCTGGATGTTTCTGGGTTTAGGGTTAACTTAGATGGAGGTGATGGTTAAAAATCCTCAATAAAGACGAATAAAGGGCTGGTTATCCTCCCGCAGCATTGTGTCGCAGGTATGATGCAGATGTTTTTGATTTATGCCCAATATTGAAGCGCAGTCTTCTCTGTTATTCCACAATGCCAGAGGGCCAATCAGGAACTAGCTGTTGGTCTAGGTACGCCCGAGGCAGAGAGGAAGTGGGCGCAGGTTTGAGTAGCGGTGTAAATAATAATAGTTTTGTATCGATGCATCAATCTAACAGCTGATGATCTGATGTATCAACAAGAGAATCGATTCATGTTTTTTTTTCTCCCTGCGGTCTATTTTTATCCATTTGCTCCTGGATGTAATTCTAACTCCCGTGCTGCGGTGGCGCTAAACCTATTTTGCCCTCCTGACTCGCTTCCTTTAGCCTCTACCCTCTTTCCGCTTACACACACACACACTCACGTAAACAGAAGGCAAGTAAGACATGGCGGTTTTTTGAGTGTCAAAAATAATCGAATCGTTGGGTCAGGAAATTGAATCGCCATGATGGGTGATTTACACTCCTAGGGGGGATTAGGGCTGAGTATTTTCGCCAAAGTCCTGAATCCATGCGATTTTGATTCATACAGTTCTGAATCTATTATTTCGATTCGATCTGTTTTTACAATAACGAAAGTGGTTTAATTGTGTTTTAAAATATTCATTTTTATTTTTTCCTGTCATCTTAATTACAAAGTGCAAACTATGTGTAGCTCAGCCTCCATTTGTTAATGTCTTCAGTCGACCTATTGGGTATATTTGCAGCTGTCTGGCTTGAAGTCATCTTGAGTGCATCTTTCCTGCTTATTTGAATGTGAACGTCATGCGCGTCACAATAAAACGAAACGATCTCATTTCCTAGACATCGATTTTGCAAAAATGTAAAGGAATGTATTCAAAATTGATTAAATCGATTTTTTTTATAAGGGTGAAAAAGGGTCCCAGCGTTCTCGCACACTTTGCTCTTCTATCTGGTCCAACTTCACAAGTGGTTTTCCACAATGGCGGTCATACGAACAAAACAAGCCGCTAAAGTACCAAACAGGAAACACGCATAGTGTAGAGCAGATGTAGATTTGACCAATCAGAGGCCTCCTGTCTGCGGTCACCTACAATTTTAGAGAGGTGCAACAGAGTGTCTGCAGAAGGAGGAGGGGCATATCTTCGTTAACTGCGACAAAAACGCAGACCACCTGGTTTCTGAGCATAAATCAGCCTTAAAGTGAAATAAATCAGATTAGAGTGATAAACGGTGTAAAGCAGCTCCCCCTGATGGAAGAAAGAAGATTATTAAAGATAATGAGCTCATTTATTTATTTATTTGTATCCTTAGAACTTTATCTGGGGATTGGGTGGGTGTGGAAACCCCCCCTGCTTTAGATCAGATCATAGCCGTCTGCGTAAACATTACTCCTGCCGCTCCGCTCCGGTCAGTCCGCTCCAGTCTGCTCGCCATTCTTCTTTCCTGTCCTGTTTCCTCACAGCTTCACTGTTTGAGCGCCTCCTGTTCCTTCCCTCCTCATCCCTTCCTCCTTCCAGTCGGGTAATCAGCCGCGCTCCTGAGGGCGGAGAGCGGCGAGCGCCTCATGCTGCTGCTCCAAGCGTGGAATCCGTCCACGCTGCCGTCAGCTGACGGGCCAGAACCTCAGCAGCAGACCGGCAGCCGGACTTCCCGGCTTTCCATTGGCTGATTTCCTGCTTCTTAATGAGAGGAACGGGATCTAGCAGCTGATTGGTCCATTAGCCGATAGAGCTGGTTTTACTCACTGATTCTTACATTTCAACCACAAACCTTCATCGTTAGCATTCTATTATTATGGGATGGAGCGAACCGCTGCATGAGGCTAACATCTAGAACTGATCCCCACTAATATGAAGCTGCGTGATGTTCTGGACGCTCTAATTCATTCTGAATCAGACTGAGCATGCCAGCTAATCTGGTTAATGTCCAGTTAGCCTCCAACTGACCGCCTCCAGGGCAGCCATGAGGTAGATGATGCTATCCGCAGAGAAACGGAAGGATTTAGGGATGATGTTCTGATGAGGAAATAAGGAAAATGAGGAAAAAAAACAGGCTGGATTATGTTCTATTAAAGCAGCTCTAGTGTTGCTGTCTTTATATTCAGCAGTAGAGCATGGCGGTGGCAGCATTATGCTGTGGGGATCGATTTCCCTCTATAGCTGAGAAGTTGATGACAGTTGATGGGAAGGAAAAAATGCACCGATTTTATTTCTTTATTTTTTAAAATCTTTTCTAAGCATTATTTTGATCAAAACGTTGACCTCCTAAAACTACGTTTAATTAGCTCACTTTACCCTTACAGAAATATAGAGTCATGTAATTAGATTCATTTTTAAACACATTTAAAAACAATCTCAATTTAAACAAAAAGAAAAACTTTATTAACAATAGAAAACAACAACAGCGAATGGAATGGGGCTGCACTCATGATTATAAAGATTAATCTGTTAATTTTTGGATTTATTGATAAATAATCAGATGTAAAAAGGTTCTTTAAAGATGATATTATTCAGAATTTAAACCAGGTGAAGCTAAAATGCCATTTGATGAGTTCAGTGTAGAAAATACTGACAGATCTAGAGTTTTCTCTTCTTGATTATATTGTTTATATAATTTTTTCTATAATTTTGGTATAATTTCTGCTTTCAGTGGGCTGCTGCTATAGCTAACGGCCTGTTTTATACGCTACACACCCCAGATAATGATTAGTTTATGAATACATTAGTTGATTATTATAATAATCGATTTATCTGTATAATTGTTTCAACAGTAAGATGGAGCCACGGCTGCTGGATTCACTAATATTTTATTAAAACACGACACCTTATTCTATTCTAATTATATTACCTTCAATTTCAACCTCATTTTATTAAAAACATTAAAACCCAAATCTCAGCGCATGAGATGGCTGATCATCTAGAATTAAACTGATCAATCGGGTCCAGTTTGCCCCATAGTGAGACCCAGAGGATTAGCAGGACCCTGAATGTGACCCTAACTGCTCCATAAATCTCACAGTTCGGTTCTTTGAATCAGAACCAACCAGAGATCCTCGTTTGTTGTTACTTGTGGGAGAAAACGGGGAAATTCCCGATCAGAATCAGAAAGCTGCAGTGGTTCTTCTGGTTTTACCTGAAAAGAGGCTCGGTATCAGCACCTGGGACCGGTCGGTCCAGTCAGGCAGCATCTCTGCCTCCTCAGCTGGTTGTTTCTCTCTCTCCTTTCTTCCTCGTGTTTCCTTTTCTCGCCGCCACGGCTTCCCTGAGGCTGCAGCTGTAGCAGGATGGAGGACGCCACGCTGCCTCCCGCGCTCTCACAGCTTCTGGCTTCCAGGACGGAACCCTGAGGGAACCACAGACCCAGTTTCCTTTCAAGCAGCTCTGATTTATTTGGCTTGGTTCCCGGGCTTTAACTAGGACGTTTGAAGAGAAAAGGCCCAGTTTCTCAGCTTCAGTTTCTCAGCTTCAGTTTCTCAGCACTAACAGGTTCTGTGAGTGAACCCACCTGATTTTCAAAATGGAAAATCAAGTTCTGACGCTGCTTCCAGGGATTATTACAGTAAATGCTTTTTATAATATTTATTATCATATAAGTGTAGTTTTGCAGAATGAAGCAAACACCGTAGAACAAATTAGTTTTTTATCATTTTTTTTTGTTTCAAAAAACAAAGCTGACCCCTTGTTTAGCCACACTGCAAAAAAACATCTAGAAATAAGTGAAAAATGTCTTGAATTAAGTTTATTTTCTCTTAATTTGAGCAGGTAAATAAGATGACCTGCCAATGGAATGAGTATTTTTACTCCTAAAATAAGATAATTAGATAATTTATGCTTGAATTAAGA